GGGAGGCTGAGGCAGCAGGATTGCTTGAGCCCAGGCTGACGTTGCTGTGAGCTAGGCTGACGCCACAGCACTCACTGTAGCCTGGGCAACAAAAATGAGACCGCTCTCAAAAAATAAAAATAAATAAATATAAATAATAAATAAATAAATAAAATGCCTTGTCTAACATCACACTTCCACCCAGGTCTCTCAGCCCAGTGCCTGCTTCCATGCCAGGGCCAGATGAAACGCTGACCGGGTGGTTGGGCTCCTATACAGAACACAAAACATTGCTAAAACGATCAAAAATGGTGCCTGTTACCTCAGTTTTGCTCATGAGACACCTTGCCTACTGCAAAATGTTGTTTACTGAAATAGCAATATTTTCACAATGGACATTTAAAGTCACGCCTCCCAGGCGCCAGCCTATCTCTGATGATATTTACAAACATAATTACAGCAGTACTATGTCGTAGGTCAGCCAGCTGACGTCTCCCGAAGTTAGTTGTCTTTTCAGCTGAATTTAGCTGAATGATGCAAGCTTAGTGCTGTTTACCATACTGTACTGTTCACGATTAAAATATGAATCTTTTAATATGGCTCCCAAGAAAATGTCTGGCTTGAAGATTTAAAAACAGCAACAACAACAAACCCACTCTAGAGCCAGGCGGGTGGCTCACATCTGCATCCAGCTACTCAGGAGCTAAAGTAGGAGGATCGCTTGAGCCCAGGAGTTCAAGTACAGCATGGGCAACATAGCAGATCCTGTCCCTAAAAAACAACAAAACAAAAACAAACAAAACCAAGAAACAAATTGCAGAAAAGCGAGGAAACATTGGCCAACCAAAATAATTTTTGAACATAATTTGAAAGACTTTAGGCTATATTTATATTAAGGATGGATGACTAGCTAGCTAGTGGTGACTTTTTTAAGAAGTTAAATATACTACTTTATTTGAAAAAAAGTTAATGAAAAGTCCAAATACGTTTAAATATTATGTCTATATTCAGTTATATTGTATGGTAATAATTCTTATTTTGAACATAAATATTTTTTCTCTAGTAAACGTTAAGAGAAAGGAATGTTGAAAACATGTAGAAAATATTGCTTTAGGGATCTCCAAGTTGCAGTCAACTACACGTTTATCTGTCCTTGACTCTGTTACAGACTGTCACGTGCATACTTTCAAGCATATTACCTAAGTTGTTGCCTACTTCACAAATTATTCAGAAATAAAGTATTTGGGTTTTAGGAGTTAGAAATCCATGGGAAGAGTCACTAAAGCATTCAGAGGTTCACTTACCCACCCCAGGTGCCAAGGACAGAATATAACTATAGCCTTCTGATTGGCAGGCTAAAAACCAATCTGCCCATCAATTACTGGTTCAGAGGCCAGGGATAGTGGCTCACGCCTGTATTCCTAGCACTCTGGGAGGCCGAGGTGGGCAGATCGCTCAAGGTCCGGAGTTCGAAATCAGCCTGAGTGAGACCCTGTCTCTACTAAAATATAAAGAAATAATTGACCAACTTAAAATATATATACAAAAAATTAGCTGGGCATAGTGGTGCATGCCTGTATCCCAGCTACTCGGGAGGCTGAGCAGGAGGACGCTTGAGCCCAGGAGTCTGGGGTTGCTGTGAGCTAGGCTGATGCCATGCACTCACTCTAGCCTGGCAAACAAAGTGAGACTCTGTCTCAAAAAAAAAAAAAATACTGGTTCAGGAAGTCAGGGAGATGTCCCCATGCCTGGGGTGCTCTTGAGGGGACCCACTCCAAAGCCAAAGCACAGAATCTTTCTCCGCTGACAGCTCCCATGCTGGGGAGGACAGAATAGTCCATCATGTGCCCACTCATGCTTTACATTCTATATCTCTTGCTTCGCTTAACATCTAGGTTACTTTTTTCCTGTATCAGGTCAAAGCTGGCTGCCAGAATCCTCTGGGAGGCCTCAAGGCCTACCTAGAATCCCAACCAGACTCACTGCCAGGCTGCCTCGCTGATCATGGCAGATCTTATATTTTTACTTCAGTAAGTAGGGTCCTGTTGTCTACTTCACAGTGAGGAAACTCTGGAAAACAGGCTGAGGGTGTACACTCTCCTGAGAAGTTCCCTAGTCTCCCCCACACACACACACACACACACACACACACACACACAGCTTAATTTAAAATAATAATAATTAGAGATAGACACGGATTTAGATCCCAGTCTCTCAGCTGGTGGCCATAACAGCCTTTTTCGATCCCCAAAAATGGAACGATACTGCCTTCTCTGTGGGTATTGGCACACAGAAAATTCAATAAGTAGAAGCTTTGATGATGATATGATGATGATGAAGATACAATGTGAGATGAATTGGTGGTAGTAGCAAATGAGAAAAGAAATTCTCTTAATATGCAGTGTAAGATAATATGAAGGACCTAGCGAATGAGGAAGTTGATAGACCTGCAGCTACCTGGGTTTTACTCACCTGTGAAGTGTGACAAAGCTGAGCAATGAGGAGGGATCAGCCGCACAGACAGGTGTCTATCAGGTGAACGCACCGTGGACTCTGAGGCCAGCTCATCCTCAGAGGCTCAGAAAACGAGTCCCAGCCAGACATCATCTCACTCAGGGAGGCTGACTGAGACACACAAACTCAGAGAGGCCATGCATAAGACCAGGTGCCAACTGGTGAGTGCGCTGACAGACACGGCAGCCTAACCAGCTTAGTTACCCCTTGTAAGCAAGCAGCATGGGGAAGGCAAAAGATCAGAAAGGACCTGGAAGCCTGGAATCCTAACAGAACAGTTAGGGTTTTATAGTTTGTTTGTTTATTTATTTATTTAAGAGACGGGGTCTTGCTATATTGCCCAGGCTGGTCTTGAACTCCTAAGCTCAAGCGATGCTCCTGCCTCAGTCTCCCAAGTAGCTGGGGACTACAGGCACGCACTACCGCACCTGGCTGAGAAGTGACTTTATTATTATTATTTTATTTTTTTTGAGACAGAGTCTCACTCTGTTGCCCAGGCTAGAGTGCCATGGCGTCAGCCTAGCTCACAGCAACCTCAAACTCCTGGGCTCAAGCGATCCTTCTGCCTCAGCCTCCGAGTAGCTGGGACTACAGCATGCGCCACCATGCCCAGCTGATTTTTTCTATATATATTAGTTGGCCAATTAATTTCTTTCTGTTGTTAGTAGAGACGGGGTCCTGCTCTTGCTCAGGCTGGTTTTGAACTCCAGACCTCGAACAATCCGCCCGCCTCAGCCTCCCAGAGTGCTGCGATTACAGGCGTGAGCCACCACGCCCAGCCTCAGAAGTGACTTTTAACACTCAAAAGTACAATGGCCTCAGGCCTTGTCAGTTGGCTGCAGGAGTCTCCACAATAGGGATACCTGACAGAGGGCCAGACATTCTCCTAAGATTCTGATCCCTCTGCCAGACAGAGCCTAAAGAGGTGCGGCCAGAATTCTCCTCTCAGAGTCTCCTTTCTTTGCCTCTAAGATTAACGACTTCCCTTCTGATCAATGCATCCATTCTTCAGATATGTTTATACCTTCAGTCGGTGTAGTCTCCTGCCTGGGCAGCTCTTATTCCATGTGGACTTTAGAGCTTAACTCTGAGAAGGCTGGGAGGACATGGGTATTTCCAAGTTCTGAGGGTAGAGGGAGAACTTATCAGTGGGGAACTAAGGATGGACTACAGGTACAATCATCTCTGCCTTCCTCACCTCCTAGAAACGGCATAGGAAATTAGAACGGAGGCATCTCAGTGTTAGAAGGGAACTCCTTTGCTCTACGGATGGGAGGACTTGCCCAGTGCCACATTGATTGATAGCTAGGACCACACACTCAGTTCTTTAAACCTAAATTTTCTCTCTAGCTCCCACTCCTTTCCTATCTTCTTTCCCTGGTCTTTATTGGGGGTGAAAGGGAAGGTATCCACAGAAGGAGGCAAATGTGCCAACAAAAGCAGAGAAAGCTATAATTCGATGTTTGCCTTAGATGCTCCCAGGCTCAAAACTAGCCCTGGCCCCTTGGGCATGAGCCAGCAGAGCAGTGATCGGCAGGTTGCTCTCAGAATTTGCCAGCCTCTCTCTCTAGAGGGTTTCCTTGGGCAGAGCCTTCCGGTTGAATGCTTAGCTGGGTCACAGGCAATTCACCAAGCTGTGTCCCCTCCCCAAAGCAATCACCACGAAGTTATGATCACTGGAGTGAGTCTAGAGCTTAGGGCTGAGGAATAGCTGTAGTCTCAAGGCCTCACCCTTCTCCAGCCTGTTCCTCTCTTCCCTGCTGCTGGGCCACTGGCGGTGTCACTTCAGTCTTCAATTTGTGTTTCAAAGCATTTTTCCACTCTATTCCCAGGAAACTCTGGAGATAGTATAAACTGTGTCTCTTCTATTTGAAGTTAAGCTCCCAAGTCCTTAGGAGATTGTCTGGCACCAGGTTATTTCTTCGAGAAGTGACCAATGAATTCACGCTGTAAGCATGACCACTCACTATCTGACATTAGTGACATACTAAGATCATACTAGTGATCATACTAAGATGTACACCACATCCTCTGTGTAAGGCTCTTGCCCAAAATGGTTTTCCTGAATCTAATCTTGAGGAAACAATCGGACAATCCAGAATATGGGACTTTACAAGACAACTGGCATGGACTCTAAAAACAAAAGTCAATGTTATAAAAAGCAAAAAGACGGCAGGGGATCATTATAGTCCAGTGCTATCCAATAGACCTTTCTGTGATGATAGAAATAGTCTATGTGTATGCTGTCCAACGTAGAAGCTGCTAGCCAAATGTGTCTATTGCAATATGAATCACGTTCTCAAGGTCTTGGACTTGTCTATCTATTTGAAGGAATAATAAATAGACTTTACTTAAGGGTGGTGGATGAGGCTTGAGTTTTTATTAACGGAATAATTTTTCCTCTTAACTCAATAAAACCTTTAAAGATAGGAGAAAATTATCTGGGGATGGATTTAGGCAGGTGAGAGCATGTTGAATATATCTCCTCTTAAGAAATCTTTACTGCCCCAGAATTGTTTTAATATAAGATTCCGAACAGCTGAAGGAACATGAACGCCTTGAAACGGTAGGGTGGCTTAAAACACAAAATAGTGAAGAAACTACACTTCCCAGGAGGTCTCGCGGGGAGTCTCCGCGCTCGGCATGTTGTCTTTACCGCGAGGTGAGCTGGGAAATGTAGTGCTCCAAGCGACGCCACACGTGACGCTTGCTGAGGAAGGGGAGAGGGACCGCGCCGTCGGGGGCGGGACGGGTCCAGGGCGTCGAGGTGTGCGTTGGTCCTTCCCCACGATTTGGTTTGTACAGTGAGGGGAGGGCGCTGTCTCTGGCCCCAGCGGCGTAGCGAGCTGACCCGGGGTCAGTGGCTGACGGGAGCCGCTCGGGGAAGTGCCCCCGGGGGGCGAGGGGCCGGTGCGTGGTCTCGGTTCTCGGCAGCCGGGCTGCGAGGGGGAGGCGGGAGGTGCGAGCAGCCGGGGGCTCGGAGCGCTCGCCCTGCGCCCCACCCAGGCTGCGGCCGCGCGGGGAGGAAGCGCGTATAGGTTTGGGTGCAAAGTTTCCTTTTTTGCTTTCTTGTCAGAGCAGCACCAACAGGCGGTGGGTGGGAATGCCCAACTTCAGCTTGAAGAGGGTTAAAAGCAGCGACTCCCCCTACTTCTTGCCTCCTTAAAACACACACCGGGGCTTAGCCATGGGCAGCCGCGACCACCTGTTCAAAGTGCTGGTGGTGGGGGACGCCGCGGTGGGCAAGACGTCGCTGGTGCAGCGATATTCCCAGGACAGCTTCAGCAAACACTACAAGTCCACGGTGGGAGGTGAGACCTCGCCGGGGGGCTTGGGGGGGGCGGGGAGGGGTAGACTGGGGCTCCCAGGCGGGCCCAGGCGGGATGGGGAAGGGGGATTTGGTGTCCTTTGGTGTCCTTCCTCGGAGTCAGGAAGTAGGAGTCCGGGGTCCTGGAGGGAGAAGTTGCTGGGTGTTCCATTTGCATACCTCTCTCGGGTTTCCCCAGTTAGGTTTTCCCAGCCGGAGCCGACTTCCTGGAAGGAGACAGGGCAAAGGTGTGAAGATGAGAAGTAGGGACGGGAGGATGAGGATGAGCCCTGGCTGTTTATTCCCGGCGCACTCAGAATTCAGTGCTCCTCCTGCAGCCTTCCGAGCGGCGGGGACAGATTACCCAGTCAGCAGAAGCGACGGGGACTCTCCGTAGGGCCTGGTTAGGGGCCCGCTGGGGCTGTTGACTGGCCTCTCCCGGGAGTTACAGACAGCCATTGAGAAAGGAACGGAAAGGTGTTTAACTTGGCTTCAAGGGGAGAACCTGGGAAGCGGAACTGGTCTGCTGGACTCTAGTTTTGTTATGGTGATGTAGGTGGGTAGGGGAACACAAAGTCCCCGCAGGAGCTCCTTGGCTATGCCATCTCGTGCCCATTAGGGCTGATGAGCTGTGGCTTTTGTCCATTGATAGCTTAAATAAAGGTCACCTAGGAATTCTTGGAAGAATGAGAAATGTGCCATTTCTCCTACCCCTCTCCCCACCCCTTTTTCCCCTCAAATTGAGGAAGGGAACACAGAGAATTCAATTCTTTCCCAGATGGGGCCTTTGGACTCAACTGTTTTTTCATAGGTAGAAATGCATTTTTGTTAATTAGAAGGTGTTGAGCTAGGAAGAGCTGGTGACAGGGGAGAGTAACTTAACACTTTATCTCTGCTAAAAGAACTTGTTTTAAGGGGGAAAAAAACCCTTGTATTGATAGAAGATTTGAAAATGTGTGCTGGGTGTTCAAATAGAAGTTTTTAAAAAAATTTAAAAAGCATTTACATTTCAATTAAAACATCCTCCTTAAGAACATCAAGCAAAATTAAGAGTTTAAAGTTTCAAAGACTGTTTCCTCACCTCACCACTCTGCCCCCCACCCCACTCCTATTTCATGGTTTTGGGTTAAAAGTGTTCTGCTAGTTAATTTTTAGCAATTGCTCTAGTTTTCCTTTAGTCAAGAATAGAAATGACTCTGGCTAAGTTTTTTTTTTTTTTCAGTGTTTCTTCTAAATTTCCCCGAGCTTTCATTTCTGTCATAGATGTATAAGAATATATTTCCAAACCTCGGAAATTATTCTGTTTCTCTCTATCAAAAAAGTTTTTCCCCCTGGAATACTCGTTCAGCCTTAACTCATGGAGTCTTGGCACCTGCAGATTTACCAGATTACATCGAGCGCAGCTCTTAAGCATCATCCAAGCAGAGTCTTCTTCTGGGAATCCTCTGGGACCTTTTCCATTTATCCTATTCCTGCCCAAGTGAATTCCTGCAGCCTTATGGAGAATGTGGAATTCACCAGGGTGTGTTTTGCTCATAATACAATTTGATTAGAAACCAACACTGAAATTGAATGTGGAAGATACAAAAGTGACCACACTTATCTCATTTCCCCCTTCTCTCCCATCATCCCCTCCCTAAGAAAAACCCCCGAAATCCCCCAGGAACTGCTTAACCTGAGAATAGGAGTTGTGTTCATAATTATTCCCATCTTCCTGCCCCCAGCCTTGGAGACAAGTAGTAGCAAATAAATTTGCTGGACAGGAGAGTGAAAGTTGGAGACCCCGTTGGAGAGCAAGTATGAATTTTATGCCCCACCCTTAATACATGAGTGAGGGCTCATCTCAGCCAGTTCCAGGGCTTGCAAATAAATAAATGGGGTTGGCCTGGCGTGGTGGCTCACGCCTGTAATGCTAGCACTCTGGGAGGCCAAGGCCGGCCAATCGCTCAAGGTCAGGAGTTCAAAACCAGCCTGAGCAAGAGTGAGACCCTGTCTCTACTAAAAAAAATAGAAAGAAATTAATTGGCCAACTAAAAATATATAGAAAAAATTAGCTGGGCATGGCGGCGCATGCCTGTAGTCCCTGCTGCTTGGGAGGCTGAGGCAGGAGGATTGCTTGAGCCCAGGAGTTTGAGGTTGCTGTGAGCTATGTTGATGCCATGCTACTCTAGCCTGGGCAACAGAGTGAGACTCTGTCTCCAAAAAATAAATAAATAAATGAGATTGCAGTTGTATGCCCCTGGGGTTCTAATTTCATATTTGATCTGAGTTTATCCCTGGGTTTTTTTAAAGGGAAGTTTTATTAAAGTATAATATATATTTTCAGTGGATTTTGCTCTGAAGGTTCTCCAGTGGTCTGACTCAGAGATGGTGCGGCTCCAGCTGTGGGATATTGCAGGTAAGCTGCGAAGGCTGGGTAGGAACAAGGGAGGAAATTTTGGTTTAATCAGCAAATTCTCAGAGAAAAAGTGAGGCAGCAAAACCAGAAATTATTATTTCTGAAGTCGGAATGATTGGGCTGCTCTGAGGATACGTAGAGCTTTTGTAGATGTTTTGCCCTGAATAGATCTGGAGCTGTCCATGTGTGGGGTGAGGCTGGCAAGGTGGTGGATTGTCCAGACCAGGCGTCTTCAAACTGCTGCCCACAGGCCACATGCAGCCCGCCTAGGACATTTATCCGGCCCGCTGGGTGTTTTTGCCACTACTGCCTGTCCTGCTTAGCAGCCGACTCTTCCCGGGCCCACAGTGTGCACTCTTCAACGGTCTACAGGACAGTGAACTGGTGCCCTGTTTAAAAAGTTTGAGGACCCCTGGTCCAGACCATAGGTGGATGCTCACAGAGCAGGGGGAGGGTGCTTTTTCTAGGTTTAAAGCTGACCTTGGTGAGAAACAAGACCCCCAGAAATTAGAGACGATAATAATAGTGAACCTTTATTATGTGCCAAGCACTTATCTGAGCATTTTAAATCCACTGAGTCATTAATCCTCACAGCAATTCTATCATAAAACTACTGCTTTCATTTTCATTTTACAGATGAGAAATACTAAGCACGGAGAGTTCGATTTGCCCTAAGACACATAGATAGTTAAGCGGCAGTGCAGGGATTTGCACGTGAGCAATGTGGGTGCAGAATCTACCTTGGAGATGATTTGGCTTAATAATCCCTTTATGGGATAGATAGGAAACCAAGAGTTAGAGGGGGAAAGTGAGTGGCTCCTTCTGCCACACGTGCTTACTGCCTTCTTCCACAACAAAGGGCGAGTGGAAGGGGTGTCCGAGAGGGTGCTGAGATTGGTTGTTAGGATCACCTTCTCAGGAGCTCTCCTCTTCCCCCCAGGACAGGAGCGCTTCACCTCTATGACACGACTGTATTATAGGGACGCTTCTGCCTGTGTTATTATGTTTGACGTGACCAATGCCACTACCTTCAGCAACAGCCAGAGATGGAAACAGGACCTGGACAGCAAGCTCACACTGCCCAATGGAGAGCCCGTGCCCTGCCTGCTCTTGGCCAACAAGGTATGTGGCCAACCTAAGAAAGTAGCCCCTAGTCTCTTATCTGTGGTCAGAGAGTAAGCATATCTAAAATGCTCTCTGATTTGGGGCATCCGTTTCCCCTTCTTAAGTTAGCAGAATCATGTTCGCCTCCTTTCAGAGGATGTTGAGGGTGAGACTTTCTTTGGGAAGAATGCTGACTATAGATTTTACATGCTGGTGTGTTCTTAGCCATTGGTAGAAAAATGTTTTAAATACACAGGTAGCTAAGCAATATTTCTGTTTTCAGGAAGTTTATGGTGTTGTCATAAACTTTTTTATTTATTCTCTTTATTTCATTTATTGTTTTTTTTATTTATTCTCTTTATTTCATTTATTCTCTTTGTCAGTGTGATCTGTCACCTTGGGCAGTGAGCCGGGACCAGATTGACCGGTTCAGCAAAGAGAACGGTTTCACAGGTTGGACAGAAACATCAGTCAAGGAGAACAAAAATATTAATGAGGCCATGAGGTGAGCATCTCATTCTGTTCTGGGGATAGGCGTGAAGATTTATCCATCTTCCACTGAAGCCCTATGGAACATCTCTTTTTTTGTTTGTTTGTTTCTGAGCAAACAAGAACAGACTGAGCCACTGGAATGCCAGCCCTTGAAGGTCAGGGATACTGTCTTCTCTCCTGAGATAACTGAGCACAAAGGGGCATTTAAACCTTGTGGCTTTACCGAATGCTGTCTGGTGATAAGACAATGTCTGTCATTTCTCCGTTCCCCCCATCTAGCTTCTCAGGCTTATTTTTTATTTCTTTTTAGAGTCCTCATTGAAAAGATGATGAGCAATTCCAGAGAAGATATCATGTCTTTGTCCACCCAAGGGGACTACATCAACCTACAAACCAAGTCCTCCTCCAGCTGGGCCTGCTGCTAGTAGTGTTTGGCTTGTTTTCCATCCCAGTTCTAGGAGGTCTTTCCATCTCTTTCCTTTGATTGCCCACCCAGCAGTTTTATTAATTACACTTGAATTGTCTCCTTCCAACTGTCCAGTAAGGAGGTCCATCATCACTTAGAAAAAACAGCTGAGACCCAGGTACATTTTTGTATCTCCTGGATGATGGCTTTGACTTGATGCTGGCTCATGTGACCCATCAGTGTCTTCAGGATAAGAAAGATCATCTCAGCCCTCAATTTGTGATCTAGAATTTTGTGGGAAGGATTAGAAATACACATCTGTGTTCTTAAGGATTATAATCCTGACCTACTTTTAAGCTTATTTTTCCTTTTGATGTACATTGATATCATGACTTCAGATTGAGAGGAAAATGAAATCAAATATTATTTCCAAAATTCCTTATAGGCCATTACTTTGATATTCTTTCTGTCTTGGAAGTTTAAGCATCTGCTAATTCTGAGATGCAGAAGGAAGGGGGTCTGGACATCAATGGGTTTGGGTCTACTGGAGGTGACCCAAGAAGTCACCGTATTTTTGAAACTTTTAAAGTTATAATTAACTTTCTCTTGTCTTGGCTTCAAGAATAGTGAAGCTTTTAAACTATTTTGTGTGATGAGAGCATTTTCTTCCACAAAGAACTTAATCCTCACATTAGGGTTGTCTAGTGTCTCCTTACCAGTGCAGTGGGAGCAGGTTTTGTAAGTTTCTGGGTTGATGTCTTGATGCATAATGCTGCAAGTGACATCAGTTGGCTGTGGTACTCAATAGGTCTGGTCCTCGCAGCTTTGGGAATCTGAACGGAAGAAGAAAAGGGAGTGGTTAACAGCAGAATCCATGAGAACGACTTTGTGAGCACCGGGGGTGGCTAGCACTTAGCCACGGGAAACAAATATTATGTGCAGGCCTTGGCCTGGGGGAGGAGAGTGGATAGACAGAAAATCAGTAGGTAATTTAAGTCCTAAATTGGGCAGGCATTTTAGTATCAAATCACTTCTAGACAGTTTAATTTGTTAAATTCTTTCTAGGCTGGTAATTTATAACTACCCAAAGTTACAAATACCCTTAGTGAACTCAGAGGCCTGAAGTTTTTTGGATAGATCTTAAATGGGAAGTTTGTTAAAATTTTAAAAAATGTTTTAAGATTTTTTGGGGGGTCTCAACCTCAAACCTGTTAAATCAAAATGTCTAGGGATGAAGCCTGGGAATGTGGTGATGGTGTATGTCAAAGCTTCCCAGGTATTTCTGATCAGCCTGATTTGGAAGCTTGCTGGAGAAAATGGTAAAGATACAGACACCAGGCCGAGCATGGTGACTCATGCCTATAATCCTAGCACTATGGGAGGTCAAGGTGGGAGGGTTGCTCCAGGACAGGAGTTCAAGACCAGCCTGTGCAACATAGTGAGACCCCATCTCTACAAAAAATTTAAAAATTAGCCAGGTGTGTTAGCGTGCCTGTAGTCCCAGCTACTCAGAAGGCTGAGGCAGGAAGATCACATGGGCCCAGGAGTTTGAGGTTGCAGTGAGCTATGACGACGCCACTATACTTTAGCCCAGGCAACAGAGCAGGACCCTGTCTCAAAAAACAAAAGATACAGAGACCCAGGCCTATTTAAATGATCCTGGGCTTCTGTATGCTCTGTTAGCTCTCCAGAATCCTGATTCACACCACCAGACTTTAAAAATCACTGTCCTAAGAAAGAGATCAGAGGCCAAATATCAGAGAATAGAAGCCAAGCCTTCAGTAGTTAATTTTTTTTTAATGCCAGTTATTATAACTTGCACAGTCTTTTGAGACCTTACAGTTCTCTTCTGTATTATCATTTTCAGGCAGGGTTTTGGTCACAATGATCTGAAGATAATAATGGAGTAGCAAATTTCATTTATGTGAAGAGATCATTTTTCCCCATTGGTTTGAAATCCTGCAAAATCACAAAATAAATGGGAACTAAGTCTTGTATTCATGGTAGTTATTGGCCTTTAATGTGAGTTGTTAAAGAGCTATTTTATATATTGGAAGGTTTTGTTTCCTTAGACTAGTAAATCATCATACAGAGCTTAAAAAAAAATTAAAATAAAGAGGTATTGTATACTGATAGTTCAAAAGCATTGTAGAAACATAGACTTTATTTTTTAAATACCTTGTTTTAAAATAAATGAAGGCAAATATTATTCTGTATATCTGTTGCTTTGCTATTACCAATTACTTAGGTCCAGCTGCCTAGGACCAATTCTGTACTTGATATAATATCCCAAATACTGCTTGGAGATGTGAACTTTATAAAAAATGGAATGTGCTTTCTTTTTCCTTTTGCTGACTCAGGATTTACCTGCCTCTTCAAGCATTGCTAGAGCCCTTCTGAATTTTCTGTACCAGTGGGTGAACATTACAGGCCTGAAACTAATTAAAGAAAGAATTGAAATATAACTAATTCCTCTCCATCCCCTTATCCATAAAGCAAAGCAGTTAAGATAGGAAAAATGAAATATTTACATGAATGGAAATGTGATTATACTAAAAATAATTAGGTCTTATCATTTGGATGCTACCCCTTTGGTAAAATTGTTTGGAACATGGATATTGTTATAGCCCTTCCCTAGAGATGGTTCTGTATTTGAGACAAGATGCCCATCTAACTACTGAGTTGGTCTTTGGCCAAAAAGAAAACATAATTCCCTACAGAGTATTCAGAGAACCCCAAGGGAGGGCCGAGAACACAGCTGTGGGATAGTGACTGCCCTGGCTTTTGTCTCTGAACAGAATAGCTGAGTGACCAAGTAAGTAGGGGGAAAGAGATCGTAGGTGAGGAGGGCTCTTTAGCAGTAAATAATGATTTGCTGTTTTATCACTACTATTGAGCCAAAATTACTCCAACCAAGGTGATTTCCCTAATTTACTTTCTCTAGCTGTTTCTAAGGTGTAATAGTGTTCCTCATTCTTTTTCTGTTATCTCCAGATTTAACTTTTTCTCTAGTTGGTCTGTCTTCTGTCCTCAAGGAACTCTTCCATCTAACATGAGGCTTTTCTCGCCTGTCCTTGTCCTTTTATAGGCAGTGGCCTGCTTTTGGCATGATCTAAGGCTGTGGTTAGAGGATGTAGAAAATCTCCATGGAATGCCATAAAATCCAGTGACCAAATTACCCAAGGAAAAAAAAACCTCAGTGCCCTTTCCCCCTCCACCCCTCTTGACTCACTATGTATAGGAAGACTTCTCAGCAGGGTAAGTGACTCATCTATAGCCAAATAATCCCCCAAGCTGCAGGCTGATTGAATAGGTAGGAAGTCACTAGAAAATTATGTATGTTGGAAAGAATTCTATGTGTATTTTTGATTCAGCCATAAATACCAAAGACTTCAGAATATATATATATATATGACCTTTCTTTCATTTTCAGGCATGATCTGAATTCTCTCAAGTTTATCTGCAGAGTTTTAGTATAATAATGGTATTGCTCTGAATTAGGGTTCTCCGGGGAAACAGAACCAATAGGAGATATAGATATTATAAATATATATAAGATATATAGATAGAAATAAATATATAGAGATATATGTAGATACATAAATATATGTATTTATTATAAGGAATTGGCTCACACAATTGTGGAGGCTGGCAAGTCCAAAATCTGCAGAGCTGGGGGATGAGGTTGGCAGGCTGGAGAATTCTCTCTTACTTGGGGAAGGACAGTCTTTTGTTCTACTCCGGCCTTCAACTGATTCGATGAGGCCCACCCACGTTAGGGAGGACAATCTGTTTTACTCAGTCTGCCAATTTAAATGTTAATCTCGGCCGGGCGCGGTGGCTCACGCCTGTAATCCTAGCTCTTGGGAGGCCGAGGCGGGCGGATTGCTCAAGGTCAGGAGTTCAAAACCAGCCTGAGCAAGAGCGAGACCCCGTCTCTACTATAAATAGAAAGAAATTAATTGGCCAACTGATATATAAAAAATTAGCCGGGCATGGTGGCTCATGCCTGTAGTCCCAGCTACTCGGGAGGCTGAGGCAGAAGGATCGCTCGAGCCTAGGAGTTTGAGGTTGCTGTGAGCTAGGCTGACGCCAGGGCACTCACTCTAGCCTGTACAAAAAAGTGAGACTCTGTCTCAAAAAAAAAAAAAAAATGTTAATCTCATTCAAAAACACCCTCAATAGAAACACCGAGAATAATATTTGACCAAATATCTAGGCACCTTGTGGCCCAGTCAAATTGATACATAAAGTGAACCATCATATGCTCTGACAGTACTTACCGAGTGACAAGCCACTGTTTTGATTCCTTTTCTTCACGCTCTAATTTGATTCACATTCAAGTTGAGGTTCATCTGATTAGGAACTAATTACGTGTCCGTGGGAATAACATGTTAGAGAAGAAAGCAGGTAGAGGAAGGAGATAAGATAGGTATTTTATGATTTATCATACAAGCCTAGTAGCACTGGGCACCAGTATTTGATTTTGTATAGAACACTTCCCTCAGATCTGTGAGTTGTACATGCCTCTTACGCTGTCTTTGAAAGAAGAAAGCAAGCAGTTCTTCCCATTTTATGTTTCAGGGAACAAATGTCTCAAAATTTGACTGACTGAAAAGCAGCCGGTTGAATTTGTAATAAAGCCAAGACATAACTGCAAGTCTCTAATTCCCCATCTCCATTCTGTCATTTAGGTTTCTGGGAAACATTTGGCCTGAAAAACCTATTTTAGAAAATAAGCCCAGACACTTAGTGAAACAGAACTGAGCCCTTTGGGGGTTGAAATTCTTGGTTTGTGTTAGATAGCTTTTGAGAACATGTTCATGTGTGGAGTAGAGACATGTGGGTAATTAAATTGGGGGCCAGATTAGGTGCAGTTTGAATAGCATGCAGTGCAGACATATCCTTAGCTGTTTAATTGACAAGTTCCGCTTAGCAAGATCTGGCACCCAAGTACAGTGACTGCCATTTAATTTTAAATATCAGCTTTTTTGTTTGCAAGTGCAGCGATTTTTACAGGCATCCCATTTTCAACTGTTGCTGCCAGTATCTAATGTTAATCTGGGTGTTTGCTATAAAGTAAGTATTAATACTTTCCTAAGCACGTCACATGGATTTTTTTTTTTTGAGACAGAGTCTCGCTTTGTTGCCCAGGCTAGAGTGAGTGTTGTGGCGTCAGCCTAGCTGACAGCAACCTCAAACTCCTGGGCTCGAGCGATCCTTCTGCCTCAGCCTCCCGAGTACCTGGGACTACAGGCATGCGCCACCATGCCCGGCTAATTTTTTTTTATATATATATCAGTTGGCCAATTAATTTCTTTCTATTTATAGTAGAGACGGGGTCTCGCTCTTGCTCAGGCTGGTTTTGAACTCCTGACCTTGAGCAATCCGCCCGCCTCGGCCTCCCAGAGAGCTAGGATTACAGGCGTGAGCCACCGCGCCCGGCCTCAATTAATTTTTAATGCAAAGATTTGTTTCACATAATTGTATTTACAGTTAAACAAAACGGTTTTTATCACACACCTTTTATGTATCCAGTATCGCAGTAGTAGTTCTAGGGGATATAAAGACCTATGCCATAGAAGTTCAAAGAAGGAGATCAAGAAAGAGTTCTTGAAGTAGGTTTTAAGATGGATAAAAATTGACAAAGAAGTGGGAGAGGGTTTCAGGTTGGGAAGAAAGGAAGTTTAGAATTCTTATGCAGCTTTGGCAAGTAACTACCAGACCAAAGGATTCATGTGTAGAGCAGTGAGCAATAAGGTTGGAAAGATTACTGGCAGATTGTTTAGGTTATTGATTTAAGACATAGTGGTGTACCTACCATGTGCCAGGTACTTCATTAGGTATGTGGGATGCAGGGCTGGGGAAGAGAAGGTTCCTGTCCAGGAAGGGCATTCCAGAAGGCAGAGGGATAAGTAAAGAACTGTGTCTCAGTGCAGGGAGTGCCACGTCTCTACTTCTTACGGCGATGGAGTACGAGGAGGAGGTCAGGGAAAGCCTGTGAAGGAGAGAGGGCACTCAAGCTGTATAAGATTTTGCCAACTGGAGGACCACAGGAGTAAACGCACTTCAGACAGAATAAGGTGAATAAAGGCATGAGGGCCTGCAACGAACAGCTTGCTCAGACAACGTTGGATAGTCATTATAGCTGGAGTGGGTGGGGAGGAGGGACTGTAATATTGTCTTTGTTTGGGCTGCTATAACAAATACCTTAGACTGGGCAATTTTAAACAACTAAAATTTGGCCGGGCATGGTGGCTCCCAGAATGCTAGGATTACAGGCGTGAGCCACTGTGCCTGGCCTAGCCTCCCTATATTCTTAAGAAGACAGTTTTCAACCTTTGTCAATTGGAGAAGTGAAAAAAATGTTAAATTACTTTGTTTTTCTTCTGTTACAAGTGACCATATTTTAAAATGTATT